CGCCTTCTTTAATATGACTTGCAGATTTGCGGAGCAATATTGGTTTGTTTACTGTAGTCAATCCATCTGAGGTTCATAATTTTCCTTTCTCGAAAGAGAGATGAACATAACAAGACGTCGTCAAGGTAGGGTACTTGGAAGATTATATTTCCTTGAGTAATCGGCTGTCGAAGTCAACTGCTTTACCTGCTTACAACTGATAATATCAATTTGCACTTAAGCAATGTATTTACAAATACATCTAATGCTGTATCTGTCAACTGTGTTTAGTTAAATCTTGTTTCAAAACGTCAAGAGACGATGTCGTTCATAATGCAGTTGTTTTATATGTATTTATATGTATGTAGGTAAGGTTATCTTAGATAATGAGTGTGTTCTTTAGGAAAAGGAGAGAAACCCATCATCATTCGTGTTCATCACGTTTATGCCAAAAAAAAAATATTACGAAATTGACAACAAAAATAAACATAATTCAAGCACCTGTTAAATCTCTAGATTTAGTATCTTTGAATTTGCCTACCAAGTTCTTATATCTCTATTTTTCCCAAGTGAAATGAAAGAGAATTCTTACCAAAACAACATTTTCGAACTGAACTGTATTTTGTGAATAATCGTCGTCATGAATTATACCTTCAAAGTCGTAGGTACGCCAGGTATAGTTTCTCTCCACCCGTTCGACTGTGTTTTCGTCAAACAAAAAAAGCTACTTTGTAGGAATAAAATTCAAAGTAAAATGAATAACAATGATAATTAGGAATTTATTATTCCTATAAGGCTATTATTCCCCTGATGAAAAATCTACAAAAAAAGATCTATGTGGGTGGCGGAGGTATATTTTCCACCGCCGCCCACGTAAAAGAAAGTAGTACGATAAACATCTCTTCAGTCAATTGTGCTTCGTGTGAATTGAGAAGCTGGGAAGTGCACTGTTATAAAATAGTATATCAAGACCAACAGTCTTCCTAATGTGTCAATTTTATTGATTGCAATTTTGCTGAGTCATATATTCCTCATTTCAGCAGTTACTTACTTAACAAAACGTCAAACATTGAATAACGTTTGGATTTTACTAGTTAGTATATACTAAAACAGTGGATAGTGTTTTTCGCGCGCTCTGATTGGCTACTCAATCAGTGAATATCCTGCACTATTCACTGATTCACCTCCAGTACCTCCGAGCGAGCGACGCCAAACTCACGTAAGTTACGAACAAAATGCCTTCCCGGTTTGCTGCCGTAACAAACAAAGAAATTTCACAACTAATCAAGCAAGCTGTTCCCGAAATAGATGAAGAAGGTGACGAAGTTCGGTTTGGGAGTTTTAACAGGTAAAGCTTTGTCTTTTTGACAAACAATAAATTTATCGATAAAACGGCTCGTACATTTTTCTCTCCGACCGATCTCAACAAAAGATACTTTTGCACTACTCTGTGTGTCAGCTACTCCAATTTCAAATGTCAATCAAAAAAGGATAACAGTAATGCGATACTAAAAGAGTCACATCCGGTTTAAATGAGTGTCACGACATTTCCGGTCACGTTGCGGTCACGCTCCCCTAAAAATTGAGTGCAGCTCAATTTTTAAACCGTCCTTGTTCCCGTTAAATGGTAAAGTTCAATCATCTTCCTCGTTCGCAATGACTTGACGAATCTTCTCTTTGGCTGTTTCAGCTGCTTGTCTTCTCATTCGGGTTCGTTCAGGCGGTTGGCTTTGTGCGGTTGGCACTCCTTTGTCGCTTGCTACTGCCTGTGTTATTTCCAATGGGCACACGAGGCTAAGCGGTCTGTCAATGTGGTGTCCCTTGTGAAGAAACGATAATCCTCGGACAACTTCATCTTTTCCTCGAATATGTCGTACAACCTTTCTCTTTTTCCTCTCTCCTCAATTTTTCTCGTCTGCGACTATCAATACAACTTCCCCGATCTCTGGTACCTTTGCGGTCTTGCGGGTGACTCGATGAGTCTCCATTAGGCTGTGGACATGTTCATGTCTCCATCTCTTCCAAGCATGATTTTAAGCCTCCTTCAGCCGCTTGCTAAGTGCACTTGTTTCTTTTTCATCTTCTTCTCCCTCAATAGGGTGGGCATTTTGCCCCCACATCAAAATGTTTGGAGTTAACACTTGTTCCTCCCCTCCATCGCTGTCAAGGTAGGTTAAGGCCCGGTTGTTCAAATTCTCCTCGACGTCGATAACCACAGCCTCGAGTTGCTCAAAAGTAAGGTGTGTCCGGCCCATTGTCTTGTGAAGGGTTTTCTTCAAGTCCTTGATCAAACGTTCGTACATGCCTCCCCACCAAGGGGATCTGGATAGGTTGAATCGCCAGTTTATGTCTTGTCTGGCCAGGTAGTCCTGTAACCTTTCGCTCTTCGTGATGTTCTTCATCCAGGTTGCTGTAGACTTAAATACTGAGGCGTTATCTGATATCATGTCCTTGGGCCTTGTTCTCCTGGCTATGAACAAGTTTAACATTCTCTGAAATTCTTCTGCCGTCTGTGTCTTCGTCAATTCTAAATGTACTGTCCACGACTTGGCGCAAGTAAACAGCAAAATTTAACACTTTCCCAGCTCCTTCTTTGCGATCTTCAAAGCGATAGGTCCTGCAAAATCTACTCCTGTAGTCTCAAAGGGTCTGTTGGCTTCCATTCCGCAACAGCACACATGCCACAGTTCCGGAGCTCCATAAGGTTTCATGCTGAAAACCTTACAAACGTTACACTTGTTGACCATTTTCTTAGCTTTCGATCTTGGTTTTGGAATCCACCATTCTTTTCTTATTTCTGCCATAGCGTTGGCCACGCCCAAATGTTTGATCTTTAAGTGAAGATGTTGGATTAAATTCTGTGTCAAATCTTCGAGGTACGTTGGTCTGTAACCAGGCATCCTTCCAACGCACTTAAGTACGCCGTTTCTTTATCTCCCACCAATTTCCACCCTGGTGTCTCTGTATCTTGCGGAATTCTTTTCTGCGCTCCTCTCACCCATAGTTCTTTGGCTTGTCTGAGTTCGACAGTACACAACCCTCCTGTCCGCTTTTTCCTCATCTGTTTCTTCGCCAACGTGTTACTTGTGAATCTTATGGCCCCAGGCAGTGATTTTCAGTACAGTCCAGTACGGTTTGCCTTCCAACAACTGATAACACTCGTAAGGCTTGTGTTCCCAGCGCTCGCTACTTCTTTCAGTGGCTTTTCTTCCTCGCTTGCCCCCGTTGAACGCGTTAGTGTTGGTTGTTCTGGTCATTTTTCTTCGTGCTTTAACCACTCGGGTCCAGTGAACCAAACACCTTTCTCCATCTTGTCCACCGACGCTCCTCTACTTCCTAGGTTGGCTATGTTCTTGTCTGTTGGGCAATATTTCCAAGAAATATTGAGCTGCTCTGTTACTGTTGCGATCTTT